ATTACCCCAGAGGCGATCTGATATCTTCTGACCTATTAACACAAGACGTACTTGGAGCCAATTGTACCAAGCTCCTCTGTCCCTGCAATCGACAACATATCCACTCCGTCAAAGCTATCGAAGCCTCCAAGACCCTAGCTATGTTAGCGGCGCTGCGTACTCCCACTCAAAAGCACACACCATTGTTTGTGTATCCACTGGCTCTCGCTGCTGTCGTTCAGCTTTCCATTGGCGCGATGCACGACAAAAGCCCTCGGCGTTGCTTGGACCAGCACGCTGACCGAGTGAAGCTATTACTCGGGGTACTCAAGTCTATGAGCCGCCAATGGCCGGCTGCTGGAATTGTGTTACGCACCCTGAAAAGGGTAGCATCCGCAGTATTCCGTGGTTCCTCTGTCGATTCACCGTCCAGCATAGTGGCTCCTCCAGCCACATCAATCGATAACGATGCTTTCCCCGACTTCGATCTCCAGGATTTGTACGGACTTGTGGGCCTTGATAATAATTCGTTAGGCATATGATACGCTCGGTTTGGCCTTCGAGGTCTACTTCAACCATTGAGTCAAAAATGCAAGGACGCAAAAATCGCTTCATCTGCGCGAACCAAATTGGAAAAGATCATTGTATTATATACATACTCTCTAGAATCTTTCCCGTCGACATAGCGCTTGGACCTGCCTAGAGGTGCTCATCGCCGCTCAGTCCCCGTCTCCCATGACCCTCCCTTCATCTTGATCGGAAGACGCATCAAAAGCTCACCGCTTGGTGTCGGTAATGGGAGTCTACCAGCGCGTATGTTTATCTGCAAGGACGGATGCAGCAGCTTCGGCGCGTTCAGACTCGCATCACGTTCTTCTCGCAGGATTCGAAAATCGTCCTCCGCATGGTTCGCGAGATGTCTGTTCTTCTCCTTGTGATCCTGTACAGTCATCCAAGGCACGGCTTCGCATCGTTGCGGACACGCTGGATAGTCATGCCCTGTCCAAATCTTGGTTTCGTCCGGTAATTTCAGTAGCTTTTGTGCTGAAGCATACAAACTCTTTGCACTCCCGCCTGGAAAATCACATCGTGCAGTGCCGATGTCAGCATGAAAGATGGAGTCGCCGCAGAACACGTTGCCTTACAAAGTGTTAGTGTTGGACACAAATATAGATCGCTACAGCGAGCACTTACTGCCGACCTGGTAACCGATATGATCAGGGGTATGTCCTGGAAGATGAAGGACCTTCACCCTCAAATTCCCAACCTCGAAGATCTCATCATCTTCGAAAAGATGATCGAACGCATTTTCGTACTCAACAGCTGGAATACCATACCTCACAGCAAATCGTTTCTGGACCTCGCGAATTCGTTTTCCGATGCAAATGGGCGGTTTGAAACCCTGCTGCGATGAAAGACGCTGCTGGAGGCAAGAAGCTGCTGTCAGGTGATCGGCATGTGCGTGCGTTTCCAGTATCCTCTCGATGTAGTACCCTTCCTCCAAGATTGTCGCCAATAGATCATCAGCTGTCTGGGTACTGATTGTCTGGGTAGGCCCGTCATAGTCAAGTACAGGATCGATAATGACGGCTTTCTTGGACGAAGGGTCTGCTACCACGTATTGCCATGTTCCCGTCTTGTCTTCAAACAAGCTGTGGATTGCGGGCTCGTGGGACCTTATGGTGTGAGTGCTGTGACTTGATCGGTTTCGGGCTTTCCGCAGGATTCGTAAAGTTGGATTGGTCAGGTTGGTGACGATGCGGCCTGTCCAGCTCGCATAGTTCGGTGGATGTGTCAAGCTGACTGTTCCTCGTGTGATGCATTGAGGTATCGTAGGAGTCATTTGCGCCATCGATCGTTGCTGTTGCCTCCAAATGCGGACCTTGGGGGTGTGGTGAGACGAGTTCGGCAATCGCCAAAGCGCCTGGATGCGTCCAGATGAGCGTAAATTCTTCATGTCCTAGGATGGGACAGTCAATATCATCCGTTTATCAGCAGTCACTTGTTCATTACATCCTCCGCTTCGTCTTAAGTATTCATCAATCTCGGGAAGCTGACTGCCCAGGTGGTGCCACCTCCATGCAGGGTTCGGCGTCTATCCCTCTTGATCCCCGACATGAAACGCTTTTGATCGCCGACACGACAATAGCCTTTGGGATGACCAATCTACTCCCTTACTATTTCCGAAGCTCTTTAATAGTCGTTGCGTTCACCGTTCACAAACCGCAAAACCGCAAAACCACAAGGAATAACATTACGACAGGCCTACCGTTGTTCGAGCGGAAACAGCAATCATCATATTACTTCTTCAATTCACCGTTATCCGATACCTCCACACCACCGTCAGCAGCTAAATGAATAGCCATCTGCTTGGCCGGAATGTATTCATCGTGCCATCGCTTCACATCGACGTCCCTCCGGACTGCACTCACCACACGAGGTCGGCCAGCTGGGCGAGGCCTCGCGACAGTTTCACCTGCGACCAGTACATCAAGACATCACAAGGTTGTTGTTATTGGAAACGGTTCAGCTGGTGTCGCAGTCAGCCATCAACTGTTACGAAAAGGACGCTTCAAAAAGGACGATATTGCGGTTGTCGATCCGAGCACTTGGCATCATTACCAACCGGGCTGGACATTGGTGGGCGGCGGCTTGAGCAACAAACTACACTTCAAAAGGCCGATGAGCGAACTTGTCGCATCTGAGACAACGTTCTACAAAGACCATGTGGTGGCCATTCACCCGCAAGACAACTATTTGTCCTTGGGAGGCGATGACAAACTTCGATACGACCACCTCGTCATCGCTCCAGGCATCAAAGTTGATTACAACAGCGTCAAAGGCCTTCGCGAAGCTATGCGAAATCCTGATAGCGTCGTAGCATCCATATACAGCTACGACCATTGCGACAAAGTCTTTCAAAACATTCAGCGCCTCAAAAAGGGTTCGGTCATCTTCACCCAGCCTTCCGGTGTAGTGAAATGCGCAGGTGCACCTCAAAAGATCATGTGGCTCGCAATGGATCACTGGAGACGAGTAGGCCTCTACAGCAACGATTCCGGGAAAAGTACTATCAAGATGACTTTCGCGACTGGTCTGCCCACTATGTTTGGCGTACCGAAGTACAGCGTCAAACTGAACGAAATGCGAGAAGAGAGAGGAGTCACAGGCCTCTTCGAACATAACCTTATCGAGATTAATGGGAATACTGCGACATTCGAACGACCGAACGGCGAACAGCCCGTACAGCGACATTTTGACTTCCTTCATGTTGCGCCCCGAAATGTACCGCACGCTTTTGTGAAAGAGAGCGGGTTGGGCAACGACGCGGGATTCGTAGACGTGGATCAGCACTCTCTCCGGCACAAGAAGTTCAAGAACGTGTGGTCGCTTGGTGATGCGGCCAGTCTGCCTACATCGAAGACAGTGGCTGCGATCACATCCCAAGCGCCCATTCTCACACAAAATCTCTTGCGTACTATGGATGGCAAGGAGCCAGAGTCCGAATACGATGGTTACACTTCGTGTCCGCTTCTGACCGGTGACAAGAAGGTGCTTCTTGCGGAGTTCAAATACGGTGGTATGCCGAAAGAGACGTTCAATACATGGTTTGGTGTTGACCAGGCTGTTCCGAGACGCGCATTCTATCATCTGAAGAAAGACTTCTTCCCTTGGGTTTATGATCGATATCACGTGAAGGGCCGGTGGGGTGGCCCAAGTGGCTGGATCAGGTAGCGTTAGATAAGTGTTGAGAGGTGTTGCGATGTGTCTTTTCAAAGGGTTAATCCTCTGCATGGAAGTATTGGATAACGCATCGTGTATCGGCAGGGCTAGGTATATTGGCAATGGCGCGTAGTCGGCGCAAAGAAGGACTTTCTCGTATTGATCCTTTTGCTCGCTGGTGTTGATGATTCTACTGCTATCATTGAATAAGAGGCGATATGTGCATGGGCGGTTATTACGAAGAACACGTGGATGCATGAAATGTTGATGTTATGGTCTGGACGGCAGACGCGTGTTGGCGGAACAGCACGCTAAGGACAAAGATAGCTTAGCGCATAGCACGACGTAGGCGTGCTGGCTGACAGGGCGCGTTTGAACTTTGACAATAGGGCGTGCCACAAGGAGATATGTATAACCAGCGCCCAAGCCACTCTTCCCTCTGCTACTGCCAGCCCAAATCACGTACGCGTTACATCCCACTCCGACTACTGCAATCGGTTCCGATTACCTAGCACCATGACTACGAAGACCTCTCGGATCTCTTGCCGGACTTTCGTCGGTCATGCATTTGCCATTTCGAAGGCCTGTCGCTCTTATCACGGCATGTCCGGGTCTTGGAGACGAGGAACCGTCGGTACATGGCGCTAAACCTCTGGTGCAACGTTGCTTCTGTTGTGCAGGACCTCGAACTGGATTTCCCTTGGCCACTCTGCAAGAGAGATGAGGCGCGACGACACCCTCAGAACCCTACGCCACGGCGATGGACCAGCTGGAGGCCAACACAAGAGACATGTTTGCATATCAATCCCCTCTTATCTCACGCCCACATTGATATGCACATTGCGAGCCCAACCAGGCCGAGCATGACTCCCTTTCCAAGACGTGGAGGTGCCGTTCCACCCGAACATATCCTGGCTGCCAAGGCGCGCCTCCGCACCCATGGGACATCTCCACCTACCAAGTTCCTGCGCAAACGCCTCCCACGGGCCTGAATGTTGGTATCAGTAGCTGCAGACGGGTATCATGCCCGTAGTGCTACCCTGGCACGCGACATGTTATCATTGAGGCGTCGAGTCGTCGCTGGCCGTGGCTGCGTGGTGACGCGCGCCGCGACTCTGATCTAAGATCAGGACCGCAGGGGTGTGCGACGACATCATTAGAAGAGAGAGTTGTGCCCAGGCTGGGTTCTCTCACTGCACCTCTGCCGGGCTTGTCTCTTTGCCCTTTCCATGCAGCCTCTCATATCGCTTTACTCCTCCACCTCGTCTCACTGAGGGCATCGATACCATTTGCCCACTATGAACGTCATCCGCAAAGCCGTGCGGGCGATGTTCCCTCCGCCTCGCGTGGCGCCTGACGGTCGCGCGGAATGGCCCTCTCGAACACCATATGTGCTTGCTTCCATGGGCGGAGCGATGGGATTCGGAAATTTATTACGTTTTCCTTCCCAGGTCTTCAACAACAACGGCATTCAATGGTTTATACCCTACCTCATGGCTGTCTGCCTCCTCGCGATCCCGGTGCTTATCCTGGAAGTGGCTATTGGACAGGCCTACCGCAGCGGCTGTGTCATCGGTTACAACGGTCTTGATCGACGCTTTACCGGCGTTGGATTCGGAATGGTCTGCGTTGGTTACGCTGTGGCCATTTACTACATTCCCATTCTATCCTGGGTCATGGTGTACTTCCGCAGTTCATTCCGGTCCGCAAACGACTTCCCCTGGAAAGATAACCCACAGGAGTACTTCAGTCATGTCGTCAACGAAGTCCCCGCCATTCCTGCGGTCTACAGCGATGATGGCAGTCGAGTCCTTCAGTATGCCTCATATCCTGGCATGAACCTCGATGGCGAGCTTGTCGGTTGGGTACTCTTTTCTTGGTTCATCGTTTGGATCTGTTTGTACAAAGGCATCGCCATTACCGCTCGCGTCGTCTACATTACCATCGTCTTGCCTATTATCATGACCGTCATCCTTGTCGGCCGTGGTGCGTCTCTACCCAACGCTGGCCGAGGTATCAAACTATACTTTGGGGAGTTCAACGCCGATCAGCTTGCCGCAGGCAAGATTTGGCAAGCTGCAACCAGTCAGGTCTTCTACTCTACCGGTGTCGGTTTTGGCTATTACTCTGCCTACGCCTCGTACAACTCCAAGTTCTCTGATGCTGTCCAAGACGCCATGATGATCTGCAGTGCCAACGCACTGTTTGAGTCGTTCGCGGCCTTTGCTGTCTTCGGTGTCGTCGGTTACTTGGGCCTGCAGCCTGGTGTTGGTGATCCGGTCGGAACATATACGCTCGGCTTCTACACCCTCCCCAGCGCCATCCAGGGAATGCCTGGTGCTCCATTCTGGTCTGTTTTGTTCTTTCTGACTCTGTTCCTACTTGGTATTAGTTCATCGTACGCGCTGCTCGATGCTATGATCACTACCATCTGCGACACTCACTGGGGAAGGAAGTACAAGCACTCGACCATCGCCACGATCATCACCGTCATCTCGGCCCTGGTATCATTGTTCTACTCAACGGGATTCGGTTATGAAGCTACCAATGCTGTTGACGCACAGATCAGCAACATTTCACTTATCTTCGTCGTATGGGCTGAGTGCGTATGCGCTACTTCGTTCTACCGCTACGTCGACGTCATAGGTCAGGTTGGTGCACCATCCTTCTGGCTGTACCAATGTTCGTACATTGGCGCCCAGATCATCGGCAATGCCATCGCACATACAGTTTCCGACAAGATCGGTGCTGGTGTTGGCTTTGGTTTCTACATCGCTGGCACAATCCTTGCTATTCTCGTCGCCAAAGATCCTACAGTTCCAGCTCCTAAATTTTGGGGCCGTAACAAGATCTTGAACCGCGTTTGGTGGGTTGGCCTCTACTCAGTAAGTATACCCTTCTCCAGTGACATATTCACTTGCTTATAATATATAGGGACACCAACTTGCGCGCGACCTCAACTATGTCGTGTGTGTGGGCAAGCAGTGGCGACTACCCGTCTTCTGGGCACCCATCCTTCGATACTTCGCCGCACCTGTGCTCTCGATCATCTTCTGCTTTGCCTACCCCACGTTCTACGCCATACGCGGCGACCCCCTACAGATCTTCGGTTTCATGGTCGCCCATCTCATTGTCTTAGTCGTCCTTGTCGGTTTCATCATCCCCAAGAGCCTCAATATCTTCGTACCTCCAGAACGTCGCGAGGAAGGAAACAGACAATACGCACCCCAGACGGTACTCGGAAAGGACGACACAAACATTGTGGGTGGTGTTGCGCCTGGGCAAGAGTACGAAGCCGGCTTGTCAGTGCCGCCAGCTTACGACTCTGACAAAGTGGAGGACAAGAAGTGAGTGGTATATGCAGCGGCATCTGATTCTGGCGGATGTGCGTATGAATGATCCGGCCCATTGCAACGATTCCCAAGCGCCCAACCCAAATATGACAGCCCATATGCAATGATCTCAAGATCACCTCCACTGCGCCAGACTTGCCCATTGCGCTTCCATTCTCCGGTTTTGCCTTTCTTCGCCCATGACGCTTGGAAATTTTTGTGTCTCAGGCCATGTTGGAAGCCTACCTGGCTTCGTTATGTACATGTACAACTCGAAATCCAATCATACATACCCTTTGTTCAACAATTCCTACACAGCCACTGAGCTGCTACACGCCTTTTCCAACCCAGTGGGCTGACTGTTATGATGCCGATCATCTGGAACCCCCTCGCTTCTACTTCCGGTGTATCTCGTCGATCGGGGCTGAGCTGCCATTATCGTGACCGCGGTCTCTGAGCCGTGCCGTGCCTCCACGGTCATGCTCGATCCATCGTAACGTATGCAACGCTATGTGTCAACTCACATGTAACCTCTCTGGAAAGACTCTTCACTCTACTGCACGATGCGGTTCTCGGCATGAAGAGATGGGAAGCCTCACGTCGCATTTGATGAACATAACCCCACTAGCGACTTTCGATCCGACAAGTTGCGACACTGCGATGCATTCATTCAATAGCGGTCTTCACAGCCGAAGTCGAATCACAGCCGACCATTCATCAGCCTCTCCGACACTAAAAGCATGGTCACTAAAGACGATGGATGCATTGCTACCATATTTCTGAAGCTTGCAGTACGCCGCGCTGCAGCTGTTCCCAACGTGTGATTCTGTCGCCTTGGAACGCGGCCAACTCCGATCTTAGAATCCCCAAGCCACTCCACCAAACGCTGCTGCTCCACCGACCATCAGCATCGCGCCAGTCGGCAGCGGCATACCCGGCGCCCGTCCTTCGCTGTCCGAAGCCTCTACCCCAGTTTCCTGAGCCCCACTCGCGTCACCCGTGCTTGCCGGTGTGGGTGTGGACGTAGCGCCTACGATAGTAGCCATAGCGAACTTCAGGTCTGTCCATGCTCTCAGTTCCGATTGCGAAAAAACCGTCGGTGTTCCACTGAATATGGAATATTTTTCGTCGTAATAATCGGCGTCGCACGTAACGGGGACTTCGGTTAGCACACCCGTCCATGAACAAGCACCGTTCCTGGTTATTGCACTCGGCATGGTCATGTGGTACTCCCATGTCTCGGGGCCTTGAAGCATGGTGAAGGGAATGCAACCGTCGATTTCTGCTTCTGGTGTCTCTATTGGTACGGCGGTTTTGTAGAATGACCGCGCCCAGGATACCATGCTGTCGAGAGACGCTTCTCGTGCTGATTCTTCGGCTGGAGCTGTTGAGTAAGGGTCAGCGGCGGTGTCAGCAAAGAGTTGGGTACATGTATCATACACAAGTACGTCGACGAAGGTGTAGGAGTCGGAGTCGTTGTTTCAGGACACTTCTTCTCGTAGGTAGTGGCAGTGTCGTCGGACGACATGAAGGTAAGAGTCGGCTCCATTGGGTTCATCAAGTGTAAATACGTGAGATTATATTGCGCGTTGATTGCGCCCACCAAAAGCGACGCGATCAAAAGGCTCCTCATTACTACTCTGCTGCTATGCGATGCGATGCGGTACGAGCATGTGGGGTGCAGCCTGGGATGCGTCGACACCACGACGGGCGCATCAGTCGCAACTTATTGCTTTCCCACAATCAGAACCGCAGCCCAAGTAGGCAGCCGCCAAGGAGTTGTCGAGCAGTTTGATGAGTGAGGAAGGAGACTAACTAGAAGCTTGACAAGCTTGCTGACGAGTCGCGGGACAAGACGGAAATGGCGATGTTCACGTTCTTGTGCCTGGCAGGCCTAAGCGACCTCAGAAGCTCAACAGCGAATGGGTCGCGTGTCTGTCGCGCCCTCAGGCACCCAGCGCGTAAGGGCTGCAATGGTCCAGACCACATTCTCATAATCTGTTGACCTTGCGCGCGTTCTTTCAGAATTCCTCTATTATATCTCGATCCGACGACTACCTTTCGGTGGAAAGCGCGAGAGAAGTAAGACGATGAAGCCAAGCAACGCAACAGCGGCATTACAGATGAAAGTGAGATGGCTTTGGCCAGCCTCGGCAAGCGCAGCGAAGGCTACTCCAAAGACGGCCGACGTCGAAAGACGCGCGATGTTTTCGACGAGCGTTATGCCGCTGAGCGCGTCGACACGCTCGCTGTTCGGTAACATTTGCAGGATCGATCCCTTGGACGCGGCACCGGTACCTGCAGCAAATGGCAGCATCACAGCAACAATGTACATTTGCCAACCCTGTGATACGAATACGGCAAGACCGGTAAGTATGCCATCAAGCAAGAGGCTGAAGCGCGCATAGAACAAATCGAATGCAAATGTCTCCTGCTCGTTCGTCGGTTCGGGGTTGGGCGGCTCTTCGCTCTCCATCGGGTCGACAGTTTCTGTTACTGCCGGAGTTGGTGGTATGATATGAACTTGCACTGTCGATTCTCTTTCTTCGTCTTCCGCCAACTTGCTTTTCACGCCATCATCCATCCACTTTCGCCCTGCAGCAACGATGATGGGAAAGACGAGAGAGAGGAAACCACCTCTTAATGCTGAGTATAAGAAGATGAGTGCCCCGTTCTCCTTGGGGCCAAAGTTGAACTCAACGGTAGCATACATCTGGAGTAAGATCGGGATGTAGCCAGTCGCGAGGATACCCAAGAAAACGCCGATACCGAGTGTGAGTGCTCCAAACTGCAGGCGAGTACGTCCATTCGGTAATTCCCATTTTTGCGGTGCAAAGATGCGGAGGGGGCCAAAGAAACGCGCGATGCCAGTGGTTTCGCGAGGTTTCGCATCCTTTTCTTCCTCCGGCGGTGGCATGGCAGGTAGCGATACTGCTACATATACGCAGCAAAGCAAGAACAACACCAGAGTCATTCGGAAGGGTGCAAGTATGCCAAAGTAGTCGCCGACAATGCCTCCAATCAAGAACCCAATGGCGCTTCCGAAGTACATGCAGCCTTGGAGTCTGCCCAATGCGCCTGTTCGCTTTTCATGCTCGACGACGTCCGCCACCAAAGAATTGAGGCACAAAACGTATCCATTGGGGCCGCCAACTACTGTGATGACTTGCGAGCATTGCACGATCATGATGCCAACGTTGCCGCCGTGCATGATACCGATATTCTGGATCAGAAGGCGGACCGCAGGCCAGAAGATCTGAATGATCAAAGCCAACTTGACGCCCAGGCGTTTGATAGTCCATGCAGCTACTAGCAAATTGACAAGGCCGAATATGGTAGTCGATGATGCCAGAAGTGCAAAAGCCCTGGCCGCTCCAGCGTCGATTTCGCGTCTCGCACATCTATCCACGGCGTGCGGATCTGGCTCATGATGTTCGTAATACGCATCGCAGGTCAATATCCGGAAAGCGTATAGCATAGGAGCCTGCGTGATACTGAATGTCAACGACACAAGGAACGCGCATATCAAAGCGCGGAATAACACCGGGACGGCCGCTTTTTCTTCTCTTGGTTTCGGCTCATCGCGCGGCAGGAGGGGTGTAGTCTCCTCCTCTTGAATGGTCGAAGGACGTCGGAATTCTTGGGCGATAGCCATGCTTGGGATTTGGCATGGGAATGAGAGAGAAAAGCTTGGTGTTGAAGAAAAGTCTTATCGTGATGTGCATGGCGTTGACTAACGCTCTGTGGAAGCTGCGTCCGGGTATCGGCGGGGTAGCGGCTGCGCGTATCTCCAGACTACCCACCCAGGCACACCGACTATATCGCGTCCGTCGTATACTGGACGCATTGAGCCCACACAAAATGCGAATTGCAGAATTGGGACGCTTCAGCGAGATGTGAACAGCAGGATGCAGAAGCTCGCGATGACGTCAGCCTATCAATACCCTCGCCACTGGGACCATCTTCGTTGCAGTTTAAATTCCTCTGTTTCGGGGCGATATATAGCTGTTGTTTGAACAGAATACAACATACTGTACAAGAAAATTTACAAGTATCGCAATGTGGTCGAGCCACCTGCACGTGTCGGTGGGTAGTGTTAACTCAAAGCCAAAAGAAACTAGGACAAGAAAATTCATTAATGTTGAAGCATCATGGAAGAATGCATGAAATCGATTGAGATGCGATACGAAGATTTTATCCTCGTGGTTGTGTACAATCGCTCAAAGTAGGGTATGCCGTTTCCTGTAAGTTTCCCCCTTCCCAAAATAAACGCCGCTTATACCGTCCATCCAATACCCAATGCCATGCCGAAAGATTTGAAATGTCGTAGCCCCTCAATGCCAAAACGCCAGCGTTCGCTGTCGTCGAGCAAGAAAGTTCTGATGAAGTACAATGCCGAGTGTGTTTGATTGTCGACTTTTGAGTTTGAGTTGTAGTACGCTTAAGCGAACTCAAAGCGCTCGTTGCAGTGCGACATCTCGCGGAAGCAGTGAGGGCACAGGTCAAGACCCTGGGAGGTCAGACCAAGTGCGGCAGATGCGGCGTGGAGAGTCTCGCGGGTTGATGTGGGTGCGCTGGTGGAGGCCGGGGTTGGGGCACCAGAGGCACCGGCGGGAGTGGAAGAGACGGAGTCTGGAGACGTTGTTAGTATGGACGAAAGCGTCGGTAGAGAGATAAACATACCCTTGAAGGAAGGCATCTTGAAGTTGATTGTTTGATGGATTTGTTTGAGGTTGAGTTATTGAGGTATGACGTATGTAATGTTCGTCTGATGTGAAGTGGAATAGATGCAGATGTGAATGTGGATGACAGAAGGCAAAACCCCAGAGCCACAATCCCTCTTATACACCTCCGCCTTCGCCGCGCCTTCCCAACATGACCCTGAATCCAGTCACCAGCGAAAAATTGGCGAGCAAAAATCGTGCGCAACAAGCACCATCCCGACTTGTCCCGGAACCGTTTGGAGAATTTGCGTCGAACGACATCAAGATGATGCGCCACGCTCGCCTCACGCGCTAAGTGGAGTGATGATAACGCGTGCGGACCCACTGTTAGCCGTTAGTGCGGCTGAGATTTTCAGGGCCGCGAGCAAGAGGCTCGCCATCGTGCATTTGATAACGGCTAGAATGTGTTTTCCGGCTTCGGAAAAGGGTTTCTGTTGACCGGTCGAATGCAAGCTGAGACACGCTTGACAAGTTTTTGATGCTTAAGATAGAGCGATTAGTGGCTCGGACAGGTGGAAAGCGAAGTTTTGCTGTCAACGGCCTCGAGACGGGAGATAGTCGGTGTAGCGTATCTGTGCTACCGGTCCTTCACATGTCAGACGTGTTTTGGGTCGTTGCGGTTTCAGACGACGTCATCGCGTTATCGTCATCGGGGGTCGCGATCTTGCGATGCATCCACCAGCCTCGCCTATCTCTGACACCTTCTGTCACGTTGCTGTCGATGACTATGAGACTATATCTTGGAATGACTCAGACAGCTAAGAATCATTGGCAAGCGGCTGCAGAGGTGCCATTTACACATTGACTGAGCGATGCAGCTGTGTGGGCCGTGTCGCTGTTTAGACGCTGGAGCACTTGGAATAGCACCACGCATGATGATACCGTGGTCGGCCAAACAAACCTGAGGCAGTACAGGACTTTGGATAGTATTGAGCTGTAGATGGATTTGACGTTTCCTCGGTGGACTTCGACGCGTTCCATGAAGTTGACGCGCTGGAGAGAGCCCTGGAGGTAGGTACCTAGGTAGCTAAACCCAAATAGGTATAGTCGCTTCATCGCTCCAACTGGTCCCGAAGTCGATCTATGGATGCTTCCCTAGCACCCACGCGCTTTCCATCTACCTAAGTCTTCCAACGTTCATATCCCAACCGCATCAAAAGCGCTGTGCTCATGACTACGACCATGTCTGAATGGCGGAAGAACTCCCGAAATCGCATCTCTCGTCGACCCGATCCGCCTTTGCCCTCATAGACCCAAGCACGTCCTTGTTCCACCGCCAGATCGATCGCCACGCCTACCTCACCAGCGGGTTCCGTACCCACGTCGCGATATCATACGTATGGAGCGAATGACGAGATAATGCATCGGATAAGCTTCCGAGCTGGGCAGCGCTCCAGAAGCGGCTGACGTCCCTTCTGGGCGAGCGTGCCTCTCCGGGCATGAAAGCTATCACGGGGAAGGCGACTCGCTGTTGGTTAGATTGCATGTGCATCGATCAGGAGTCGAGCGAGGACAAGTCGTATTGGATACCGCGCATGGATGAGATATACTATGAGGCGCGATGCACAATCTTGCTCCTGCGAGTACCTGGGCTGGATCTCAGCCCTGTACTGGAGATCAAGAGGCGCATGTTCTGCCCATTGTCTGTGCCACTGAGGCTCAGGGACATCGCGCAAATGGTGCCGCATAGCTGTCTTCTGTGTCAATCTTGCACGTCGCTGCAGGAGATTGACTCAGAGCTCGAGACGACAGCCCTCAATGCGCTAAGGGTTCTGTGCCATGCTACGTGGCGCGAGAGAGCCTGGATTATACAAGAGATACTACTCAGTCAGAACTACTTACTGACTTGGGACGATAGTGGCGACTGGCTTTCTCTCGCCGACACCGCCGTAGTTGCCGCACTCTTATTCCGTCGGAATTAGGAAGAGACATGGCTCGATGAGTTTGCGTCTTGGTGCCGCAGATTATGGTTTCTTCGGCAGAACTACGATGAAGCCCAGACGTACGAGCTATGCGACGCGAACGTATTGCAGCTAGCTTCCACGCTCAGCGCGACGGTACCATCAGACAAATACTACGCCTTGTGTGGCATGCTGCGGTTCAAGAATGTGAAGCCAAACCCAGCACACAGTGCCAACGAAGCACTCGAGGTTATCGTAGAATCCATGGCTCAAGAAGGCCGGATGAGCTGGCTGTATGCTGTTCCACTATCTCTTATGATTCCCATGCAACTCCGAGATGGAGAAATGGCACCGTTTGTCCTGACTCGACTTGAGGATCGTCTAAAGCCTAATAAGAAGCATAAGGCGGTCATTCAATCCGGCGAGCTTACTCTAGACGCGATCCAGCTCGGGCGCATCACTCAAGTACTGCCATTCTCGCAAGTTTTGGAGTCAGCATTTAATCACCTACGCGAGACGCGCGACTTTGACTTTCCCGAAAGCATAGCATACTGTCATCGCGTACCAGACATCATCCGAAGGCTTTCACTTGACTCAGTGGACCCTTTGCTTCTTGAACCCACTTTCGGGCACATATGCAGAGCTCTCCAGCCGTTGGACGCAGTCAAGTCGGAAGCTCGTAAAGGATGGCTACGCATTATGTTTCTCAGCTTCATCGACGAGCCTCTCATACAAGAGATGTGCGAAGGAGCTGCGGAGGAAGAAATACGGATCGTGAAATTATCGGCAATGTCACTCCAACGGCATCTGATGAATATACGGGATCGCTTCAGCGTCTTGCTTTGGACTAAAGAGGCAAAAGATGATACTCTCACAGTCATCAGTGTAGCGACCTTGGGTTGTCCGGCTGATGCTCACATATTCTCATTAAACGGTGAGCCCGACTCGATGTTTGCAGCTCATTTGCGGGATCAAGCGAACGCCTATGATGAGTTTTGTGGCCCGTTATTCTCGTTGAACGTACGGGACACCATTGGCCCTCGACCTTCTAGACTGTTCACTACGCCGTTCTGGCGAAAGAAATCTCACACCCCGCATGCGCAATCACTTCGGTTCAGATACGCAAGAGGAGATGAAGTATCGTAACACGTAACTGTCATTGACTTTTGTTATGTAAAAGAAGGAGGTACATGTAAACTCAGAAGCACAAAGTGAGCAAATACGAATGAAACTCTCCGCCGATTTGACCTGCTTTGTATCCACCATAGCCTCATTGCGTAGCGACGCCCTTGTCATTAGCTAGGTTGTCGCCAACAATGATAGTGTTCGACCCGTACGAACCACCTCATCTAATGGCCCTTGGCAAGATGATCACGCAGCTTGTCCTGGCGATAAAACATTTTACCACAACTAGGATAAATGCAAGGAAAGAAGGGGCCGGTGTGTTTCTTCATGTGCCGGCGATACTCCTCACGGCGACGAAACGTGCCAGTACACCCGTAAGGACACTGAGGAGGAGCTGTAACGGCGGTATGCGGAACCTGGTTGTTGAATGCCGGATGGGTGGGTGCGACAGGAACCTGAGGCTGAGGCTGGGATGGGGGCCCATACGGCATGACATCTGGGCCGCTGGCCTGCGGAGGGACGGGTGTGTACATGAACTGTGAGGCTACGGCGTGGAGAACCCCCTGACCCATACCATAGGGGCCTTCGACGTCGGCAAGGGGTTCATCGTTACCCAATAGGTAGTTGGCATCGCCATTCAGAACGGCTCGGCAGTCATCCACTAGCGTGGGGCTACCCGCGAGGTGGGCCCCGGGTGCATGTGAACATTGTGAAGTCACCTGTCTGGTCGGACCCCGGTCATGACCTGTCATCTTCCTAATCGGGTCAGCAAAAAGTTAAAAAAAAAACCTACCCTAGGCTAGCCTCGCTAGCCATAGGATGATCATCCGGAATATCGATCGCCCAATCGAAGTCTTCATCGCCTGTTTCACCGAAGGCTGGAGTAGGAGACATATCGAGGAGTC